GGTGAAACCTTACATGGAGTAAGTGCTATAACCGTCAAATATTACTATACATTTATTCATTAAGTATCATTCATTTTTAAAATATATAATAACAATACTTTTCTTCGTCGGATATTTTATCGACCAACCGTATAAAGTAATCCCGACATATCAAAAAACGAGGTTGATTTCTCGGCTTCAAAATGAATTTGCATCATGGTTCCATCAATATGTGAGTATTAGAAAGTAATGTGTTGGGTCGTGAACCCGATCCTCACGAGGTTTTCTTGAGGACTCTTCGGAGAAAGGTTGATGATCGGCTTGTCTTCATCGATCAACGATCAAGGCTTATCGATGTAAGTTATTAGTTTATAACATTATTTCATATTTATTAATTTATAACATTATTTCACATACGTATTTAATATGATGTGTTTCACAATTATATAGGAGATCGTACAAAAATTAATAAATGAGGAAGAGTTTGCTAGCCGACAGTCGGGAGGGATTGAATTGATCGGACCCAACATTAATGAGATATTTCGGAGGGCCATTGGTGGAGGAGATAGTAAGATGAAGAGGATGTACGGACTCGAGTCACAAGCATCTCACTATTACTCTAACGTTAATACAACCTCAAGCTCGCTACTTCTTGATTCAATGCCGCCGACAAGGCACGACTTAAGGAAGTACAAGATCAAACATCTACAAATACGATAGATATCCATAACCTACGAGGTACTCGTCAACACGTTAGAGGATCGTGTCACATCGTTGTTGGATACAACAAATGAGTTGAGAGAGTATAGTCGACAATAATTTACAATGATGTCACAAATGCAACAGATGTTCATGCAGCATTTTCACCATGGTGGTAGTTCATTCGGCGTTCCCGAGACCGACGATGACTCCACCTGACCTCCGAACTACTCCACCCAACCTCCGAGTGATCCCGACCATTAATTTCTCTTAGCTTTCATGTTTTCTTGTATTAACCGCAACCTTTGTACTCGTTTTCGGTTATTTAATAATCGAATAATATTTAACGATGTTTTAATACAATTTATAATAATACATTTAAAATTTTAAAATATTATGTTTAAGATATTTTAGTAGATTTTGTTATTTAAAAATTATTGATTTTAGTTAATTTTATATGGGAAAAAATATATATAATTAAACAATTAGCGACGATCTAGACCGTTGCTAAAAACAACCTAATTTGCAACGATCACAGGACCGTCGCTATTCGGCCGACGAACTTACCATTGGTTTAAAAGACCGTAGAAATATTACAAGGATTTACAACCATATTTAACAACAGAATATTTTTTTTTTTTTTTTTTTGCAATGGTTTTGTCCATTGCTAAATTGGCAACGATCGATAAACCGTCATAAAAACTTAACGACGAGCATTTTAGCGATGGTCTTCGACAATCGCAAAATCATTTTTGCGATGGTTTTTTCACATTTAGGCCGTCGCTAATTAAATTTATTGTTGTAGTGCTTATTTCTTCTCAATTCTCGAGGGTCTCCGATCCCTCAAGTTTGATACACTACGGAGTATCTTAACACACTTCAATAAGTATATATGAAATAATTAAACTAATTAATTCTAATTCTAACCTAATTAATTTTAAAATAATAATAATAAATTAACATGTTTTAATATAAATAAAATTATAATTCAACCAATTAAACAAAATTAACCTAATTAATTAATTAATTATAAATCAAGTTAACTTAATTAATTCTAATTCTAATCAAATTAAATTTAAAATAATAATTAGTTAAAAAATTCTAACATAACTAAAGTTAAAATTCAACAAAGTAAACAAAATTAATCTAATCTAATTAATTAAAGATAAATAAATTTAACTTAATCAATTCTAATTCTAACCAAATTAAATTTAAAATAATAATTAATTAACAATTTCTAATATAAATAAAATTAAAATTCAACCAATTAAATAAAATTGACCTAATTAATTCATTGAACATAAATAAAATAAAATAAATTAAGTTTAAAATAACAATTAATTACCAAGTTCTAATATAAATGAAATTAAAATTCAATAAATTAAACAAAATTAACCTCATTAATTAATTAAACATAAATCAAATTAAAATAATTAAGTTTAAAATAATAATTAATTACGAAGTTCTAATATAAATAAAATTAAAATTCAACCAATTAAAAAAATAACCTAATTAATTAGTTAAACATAAATCAAATCAAATTAATTAATTCTAACTCTAACAAAATAAATTTAAAATAAAAATTTCTAATTTAAATAAAATTAAAATTCAACTAATTAAACAAAATTAACTTAATTGATTAAAAAATCAATTCTAATTAAATTTGAATAATAATTAATTAACAAATTTATCTAACAGCTTAACAAACTTTAACAATTTAACAAATTAATCAATAAATTAACCTAACAATTAACTAAAATTAACAATTTAACAAATTAATCAACAAAATAACAATTAAATATATACAAAATTATAAATTTATTAACTAAACTTAAAATTAACCTAACAATTATAGCAAATTAATAATTTTAATTAACAAAATAGAAGAGAGAAAAAACATAATTACCTAATTTAGGTGGAATTACACAAAGAGGTGAGAAAAAAAAATAGAGTTTTTTGAGAGAAAAGACTTGGAGTGGGTGTGCATTGATTGAGAGTGAAGAAGTGAAGTTTGGTGTTTGGTTTGAGAGGAGGTGGGGGGTTGGGGGACCGGTAGCTAATTAAAGAGGGAGAGGAAGAGGAAAAAGATGTTTAATTAGGGATTGAAAAATTGTGACGGATGTGATCCCCTCTCTAATCCGTCACTAATTAACAACGAGATACTTACGTTTGTCACTAATCTGTCAAAAAATGAGCGGCTAACTAATTAAAGTTGCCAATCCATTTTTTACATTTAGTAACTCGTCACTAATTTGACGATTTTGACTTTCAAAAAGTCCCTCAATATTAATTTCATATTCAATGACGGACCTCTTGTCGTTAATTTGGGAAGGATATTTATTGTAGCGATAGATATTTTAACGCTAAATCTAGACATTGAAAATAACGATGAATAAGCAATTTCGTTGCTATATTTCTTAGCAAATCAATTTCTAAACTCGTCTCTAAAACTTTCAGAAATATTTTACTCGTCAAATTTAACGATAGATTGGTGTCCCTTTTTAATAAACTATTACTAATCTTTTTCTATTCCATCACCGATTCCAACAAATGTTGTTGTGTCACTATTTACTTGCTATTTAACTCGTAGAAGTTTATTTGTTTCTATTTGATAGGGTTTGTTTCTTTTTTTTTTTTTTTTTTTTGATATAAAACTAGCTAGGAGCCTACTTATATATTGAGCATATTCACCTTTATTTCTCATTGAATTAATTCGAAACCTAACCTATAACATTGAAATTGATAATGTGATATAATTGAAAAACTACTTTATAATTTATTAATTATGGTGATCATAAGACCACACTACTGATAAATTGTTATTTATATAATCAATCAACTAATTGCAATGCGCATGGTTGTCAATTAAATAATATTTTATGCTTATTCTACATTCAGCATATTCGATTTGAAGAATTATTACGATTCCATATTTTTGTTAGTCAAGCTAACCGAACCCAACCCAGCTCGAACACACGAGAGTACCGGCTAGAGTGAAGCCCATCCGTAGCTCCTAAAGTAAATTTAACTTGGCATGCTTGTAGTGGGCTAGTGGCTTCAATTAAGGTTTTGGGCCTTAGCTCGAGGGGTATATATGTCATGTTACGAAAAGGTAAAGCACATCCACACTATATAAATAAAACCCCTAGCACTAACACAAGCACTTGAAGAAGCATAAGAATACCTAAAGCCGCTCTTCTTCTCTCTCACATGTAGAACCAGCCGTTTTCCTTCTCCATTTCTTTGTTTTTGGGGTTTGTCTAATTCATTTCTTTTTGTTGTGCTTTTTATCGATTTGTTTTCTGTTAATTGCTTTCGATAGGCGTTGCGTTCTTCAATGGTTTTTGCTGATCCATAAGGACGTGTCAACGGAAGCGTATATTTATTGCAATCCCAAACTCCTATCTTTTTTTTTTTTTTTTGAAAAAAGAAAAGAGAGAATACATTCATGCTACGTTTCTCTGAAAATGCGTAGTTTGGTTTCATGGTTGGGATTTGCGATATTTTTTATTTCTATCAATGTTTAACGATAATTTGTTATGGTTGCTTCCTACTGGTGAACTCTCCCTTTTAATTAACAGTGGGAGAAATTCATGTTTCCGAAGCATAAATTGATTTATGTAATTGCCAGTATTAAACAGCACGGTGTTGTGTTTCCAGCACCCGTGTTACCTGTCTCCTGGCACATGTCCATCTTTCTCGTTTGATCTCTCTCTCTTTTTTTTTTCAATATCGATGAGCAGCAATTGGAGTTTGCTATTTGAAACGAACTAGATTAGAACATCTTATTGCAGAGATTGCTATTACAGACTATATGAACAATGTTCTTTCGAACTACTGAATTGAAAGAAATAGCAGACACGAGGAGAGTCCTGAGCTCAATGGATTTGCTTGTAGCAATGATTAATTCCCATGAATAATACTTCCCTAGTTCCCTTGATTGTTTAACCACAATATTTTTCGAGGGTTTCCAATCCTCTTTTAAATCCTTTTTCATCAAGGGGTGCTAAGTTAGGCCATAATTTCTGATCGAACCTCTGATGAGTGGTGATAGCATTACCAAGAAATGAACATTCTGAAACTAGACATTTTACTGCAAACAACCATTGCATTAATAACCAGTCGCATTACACAATACACGTAACACATAATCCTCGGAAAACCTCGAAATATTCCACCCCTTAACTAAATAAAGCAATAACCATAGATAGCATCATAAGAAGCAGCAGTGGCAGTGGTGGCAGTGGCTGCTTTACAGTGCTGAACGAAATACGAAGTTATTCAAACCGTAGATATGAAGCCCCATTACTTCAAAATTAAGCTCAATCGGTACAGCAACGATACATGATGAACTTCTCCATGGGACGACCACATTCAGCACAAACAACCCTCTCTGGGATGCCCCCGGTAGTCCCTGGCAGTATAAGCCGGTTGCAGTGGAATGGGCTATGGAGTTCGTGGAGGTGATCATTCAGTGCAGGCATAAAGCCCTTTTCTGCTGCTCTTTCCCTCCAGCTTTCGAACTCAAGGAAACTCTTCAATATGGTGTCCCCCTTTGCCTTAGCCATTTTAGCAGATCCCTCACTGACCACAGCCCACTCTTGATCGCTTCCATCAAAGCTGAGCATTGTCATTATCTCCTGCATGATTGGATCATTTTCTACAGTCCTCTTGTGTTGCACCTTTGAATGCCACATGCTCTCCAGCCTCACCCAAAAGAACCAGATCAAAGTAAGGTCTGGCAGAACACGGCTAAGGTTATCTTTTTCAATAACAGTGTTATTTTTTCTGACTTTCTCCCTGGGGTTGCTCTTCCCTACATAGAGCATTTCTAGCTGTATATCGGCAGATTTTGCAACAGCTAGTGCAGTCGCGGTGAATTTACGGATCCACTCCATGTCCTCCCCACCAAACAAGCATATGAACTTCCCTTGGTCTACCTGTAATGGCAATCAATTGCTTGTTAAATTCATGAATAATAGGTGTGTGAAATCAGTTTAAGTTTGGAATTTGAATGCCTCTACTGACAAATGTAAGTAGTAGAAGATGTCGGATAGAGAGTGGAGATGAAGACTACTTTTTAGTTTGATTATATATATATATATATATATATATATATATATATATGAGAGCAAAGATCTATCTATATATATATATATATATCCCAAGACAGGATAATTGGGTCAATGCTATCTGCCAGTAACTCGATTTTCCAGGTTTCTCCTTTCCAGAGTGCTTCCTCCCACGAGCTAGTGAAAGGGTAAGCCAGGCTTCCCCAAATCCACATCATGTGGATTGCGTTGGGGTTGACAACTTTCCCTTGTGGATCCAAGGCCACAATCAAGGGCTTCTTGTTGAATTGCCACACCTCTTTGATGTACCTGATGACTGCAACAACTATCAATGAGGGGTGATAAACAGAGTACCATGGCATTTTCGATTGAAAATCCTCAAACTGCTGTTGCTTTGTTTCATTCCATGGGGTGTATATGTCTACAACTGGGAGCCATACGACCTCGAACTGACTCTCTGGGTTCTTCCGGGCGTCCCTGTACATTGTTTGCAGCATTGAAAGCTCTTCATGGGAGAGTTCGAGGTCCGAAATCAGCAGCAACACATTCTTCCTCCTCAACACATCAAGGCTGGCCTGTAATGACCAATGGGAAATCTATTTTATCCTAATATAAGATGATCGTTAACTAATATTCTGGCCAAGGAGGATGATGGATATCTGTCACAACCATTATGTGGTTGCAATGGGGAAAGATTTCAAGCAAGACCGCATGCAGTTTTTATTCAACAGTCTCAGCAGTCTCTCTCTAGTCTCTATCATCCAGTGAATTAACAACAATATAATCTGAATTATAAAATGTACTGAAAGAATAGAAGAATAACAGAACCCTTTTCATGGTGGAACCGTCAATGAGAGGTAGTTGATCGTCTTTAGCATAAATCAAAGCCTTGAGAATCTTCATGTTGTCAACGTGGAAAGTTTCGAACAGGATCACAAGTGTTTGATATGCTTCAATATGTCTTTTCTCATCTGAATAACAGAGATAACTAGTCATAGCCATCCCCCATATATTTAATTTGCATTAAAACATCATTTGTTTTTTAAAATGGTGAATATTAGAATGTAAAAGCATTTGAGTGGGTAGCGTAGGACTCGGACTCACCTATGTGTTGCAAACAAAGAGTGAGCTGCTTCAAGAGATGGTCGTGAATATTATTGACCTTGTGGGCCAAGCTCGATAACTCCCAAGCCTCTGTTGTGGATGCTATGTACCTGTGAGCAGATAACGAGACGCAAAAGCAAAATTTAGCACATTTTGTATTCTGCTTTTGGCTGCCTTACATTCTTGCGCAAAACATTATTATCATAGCTAGCTTCATAAAAATGTACATATCGTAAGTCAAGAGTAGACTGATCAGCTTGCGGAGAAGGAAACACATACTCTTGACCCATGCCAATGAGGCCCATAATTTGTGACGAGCAAGCCACCATACTCCTGATGGTCCAGTAAACAGCAGTGGGGATATGAGCAGTGGCAGTTAACATTTCTGGAGTGTCAGAGGTGATGTATTGAGATGGAAGCTCCGTGAACTCAACTATGCATGTGGCCACATCCATCATGGCCCTGATAAGGTTTGTAAGTGCCTCAAACTTTTGTTTCAAATTGTCAGCTCGTTCAATTATATCCGGCAATTGCTGCAGCATTGCAACAGCTCTAGCTAGTGGGTTTGTAAGGTAAAGCTGGCCGACAAGCCAAAACTCGCCATAGTTCACGGCAAATCCAGCTAATGCTAGCACCACCTTTTCGGACCATGAGTAGTTCGATACTAGGTTGAATATTGCCAAAGTTGTTGCATGTGCATCTCCACCTCCAGAACACTTGCACGACATCTGTTGGAAAGCAGCATATATATTAATTCATACGTGTCCTGATAAAAAAATAAAAAATAAAAAAACAATGAAACATCATAAACTTATAAATGCTGAGATCAGTTCACACTACAATCACAGTGGCAAGGTTAGTGCCTTTGCGACTAATGTTCAAGTGCATTCTACAAATCTTTTCTGTTTCCAACCAAACTTACCTCGCAGGAAATTTTGTTGATTGTATAAGACAGCATATCGATCATTTCGTGAAAGCCATTTTGAAGAGCCTTCTCTTCCAATGCATCAAGTTGCTCTTGATGAATTCCCTAAAATATAGAAGTCACCAGCGATGGTAAAAAACATAGTAAAACTAGAGCGACTAAATGCTTGAACATTATCATACTCTACCGATATAATAGGCGAAAGAGCATACAAGAAACAGTAGTACTGGTTACACACCTGATTCTGAACAATGTTGTTTATGCCTGGGGCAGGGGTAGCACGGAGCAAAATGTCCTCAACAATATGAAGAAGAGGCTTCACAGAAAATTCACGGCCATCAGGAGCATGAGTGGCCTGAATTTGCTTCATCATTGCATTGTCATCAGATGATGCAAACATATGGCGTTCACGCCTTGTCCTTTGAGGTACTAATGCCATCGAGGTGAAAGTGAAATCTAGAGATTCAAATTCTAAGGGGAAAAGAAGATAAGAGTAAACAGCTTGTTTTGGTATGGATTTGGTAAGCTCCGAGACCTATATATATAGGTCGTACAAAGAGAAATGATGCTAGAACTAATACCTTGCTTCAGACAGGGTTTAAGCGGTAAAGTGTCACGAGAGAGATTTTTAATTTTGGATAAGGCCTTGCCTATAATGAGAACGACTAACCATCTCCTTTGGCTTTAATTTTAACAGGGTAAAAGCTAATTAGTCGAACATTCGAATACTATGAATGCTGATTTCACTTTAATCTCGAGGAACACGTTGATGCTGAACAGGTCGCAGGATAAATTATCCACGCTTTCCAATTAATCCCCGATCGTAATGTTGATTTGCGTAGCTTTCGTAACCCTCTGCTAAATTTATAGAACCCGTACGTAGAAACCATCAGTGAATTATAGTTCAATTCTTGTTTCTTTTCTAGAGTTCTCGAGTTCGAACTTTTACTTTATAAAAAAAGGAAAAAAAGTCATAGAAACCATCGGAGTGGCACTGCTTAATATGGAAACTAACGAAGAAAAAGGCAGCATTCTGATTATATATGTTATTATGAAAGGCAACATTCAATCCACTAGCGTTTACTGTACTGCATCCATGTGTAAATCAGAATTTCATGTAGTTATTTTGAAAAGGTTGCACGTTAATTTTAAGTAGACAATAAGATAGAAGGAATGGAGAAATCTTTATGAACTTCCTCCGAAGAATGTTTGTCTTTTTTTACGTAAGAAACCTTGCGTCATTAAAGTTAAAGGCAGGAGAACTATCATTGATTAGATGCTCCTTGTCTTATCAGTTTTCCAGATCACCCTCAGTAATCAATACCTTTCTTTTTTACTTTCTGGTAGGGCATACATGAAACAGTAAGCATCATGGTTTACTGCCTTTGCCCACTATATATATATATATATATTAGCCTACATCCTTAAAAGCAAATCTTAAAAAAAAAAAAAACCAAATGTTCGTGAATTACGCTGATAAGTTTTGAAAGAAATATGAGGGCAAAGTAATTCTATAACGAAAGTAGGCTACTTTTACACAACTCCTAGAAAATTCTAAAATGATGCGGATCTGCTTTTAAAACCTATTTTAATTTAATATGGACGTAATTAAGATAAGTATTAGTAAAAAATTTAATGACTTAAATTGGACCATAAAAAGTTTTTGGAGCAAAAAAATATTGAAAGCAATTTAAAGAAAACGTAAAAGATTTTGGGCAAATGAACCGCTCAAATCACTATTCATTTATGGTTTATGGTGCCAGTTTTTGTAATTTTCAACAGTGTTTTTTTGTAATTTTCTTTATAGTTTTTGGCATTCATTTCTAAATTTTACATTTTATTTCATTTTGGTCCCTCATGCTTTCAAACAATATTTTTAGTCCTTATGCTTTAAAAATATTTTAGAACCTAATGTTTTTACCTTATTCTATTTTCATCTCTTATTTTTTTCAAAATATATTTTTGATCTCTCATGTTTTTAAATCTTAAAATAAATATATATATCTAATTATATTATTCTTATTGTTTATAATTAATCTTTTCAATTTGCTGTTTTTTAAGAAAATTTTCATTCAATTAATTTTTTTATGCATCTTTTTTGTTAGTAAATATGATTTGTTTTTCTCTATGTGTGGATTTTCAAATTATTTTTTTTAAAATAAATAATTAATTAAATAATAGAATTCATGTGTTTCTTTGGCTTATTCTTAATATAATCAAAAAATTTAGAATAATTTTTTAATTGTTTTTATCGCATTCTATTAGCTTCAATATATTTTTTACAACTTATTTTTAAAAAATATTTTTCAATTTGTACTACACATTCGAGCCTACTCAATATGGCCATTATGTATAAACAAAATATTGAGATCCTACACATATAACACCAATAATTTGCTATTAATTATTTTTAAAAATTTAAAATTAATTTATTTCTAATAAAATAAATAAAATAATATTTTAGAAGAACCACTTAATAATTTAGATGCATCTCTTAATACTAATATTATTGATTATTTTATAAATAAATAAATATAAATCAAATGTACATATTTTCAAAAAATTAAAAAATTCAAAAAATTTAAAAAATTAATTATTTAATTTTTATACGAGTTTTTTATATTGATTGTTGCTTTATTTTTTTCGATATAATCTTATGAAAAAGAATATTAAGATGTTTTTTAAAAATTTTATATAAATTTTTTTATTTGTATTATTATAATTTTTTATTGAAAAATGAAAGCATAACGAAACACAAATTATATTTTTTTAACAACAAAATTTGATTAAAAATTATGAAATTACATAAAATTTTATTTTTTTATTTAATATATTTTAGTACACCAACAACATAATATATGCTATTAAATTAAAGTAAATATATTTAGTTCGATTAGTCGTGTAACGCAAAAAACCGAATAGTATTTTATTAAAACACCTTAGATTCTTTGAATTCATTAGTCGTCTAATGTAGGAAATAATGTACGAGATTTTAGTGTGTTAATTTGAGGAGAATATGCAATTGATTTTTAATAAAGAAATTTTGGAGTCAAGAGATTTTGAAAGAAAAATAGTTCCTATCTTCATTTTATGAGAAAAGCTTTTTATTTTCCATGACCAAAAGTTTTGTGCAAAAGTGATGAATTTATATTTCTTATTGATGAGTTTGAAATTGGTTTTGCAAAATCAAGTAAAAGATTTATATTATTTTAACTTAATTTTAAGATCGTGTTAGCAAATTTTACTCTTTATAGGCTTTAACTTCATGTACATATTATTTTTATAATTCAAAATTTCAGATAAAATTTAATTTTTTAATTTTAGGATTATATTTATTTAAGAAGATAAATTTTGATTTAATATTGAATTTTTCAAAGTTTTGTTGTAAATATCTTTAAAACATCTTACATAACTTTAACTATGTACATCACTCAAAATACATGGTAACAATATTTTAAGTTTTTTTAAATAAAAAAAATCAAAGTAGGAATTAGTTTTGCAAAAAAAAACAAAACAAAAAAAAAACTTGAAGAAAAACTAAAAGAATTTTTTTTGTAAAAGAAATCCATGAAGATAACAATGCAAGATGACATGCGTCTTCCACTTGGACAATTTTGTCGACCTTCTAGTTGCTTGGAAAATCAAGAGGTGTTTGTTGTGGCCTCCAAAATCCAATTTTTTCACTCTTAAACACCTTAAAATCACTCTACTCGTTATAAAATAAATAGAAATAATAGGAGAATTAAAGAAAATGATGACAACAAAATGAAATCACTATAATGTGAATATAAGTGATAAGAACTTCAAGGTTTCTCTTATTCTCTCTAGGAAAATTATACACCAACTAATGAACAATCAAGCCTATTTATAGGCTTCAAAATTGAGGAGAGAATTGAAAGGGACTATGAATAATCAATTGTATCACCCTTTCAATTTCTCATATTGAATGATGAATTGAATCATATTAAGAATCATGAGTAGTGGGGATATGAAAAGTGGATGAACATGATGATGGACATTCATTATTTCATAACACTCCCCTTGAATGTCCATTGTACAAGGAACATGCCTCGTTAAAACCTTACTAGGAAAAAACCCGAGTGGGAAAAAAAAATCCTATAAAAGAAAAAAGAGTACAATATTCCTTGTACATATTAATCCTTATTTTGGTCTCTCCTCGTTGAAGGCATTATTTAAGATCTCTAAGACGACACATTCCAATCTTGTGAATCATCTTCTCAAAAGTTACGGTAGGTAATGCTTTAGCGAATAAATCTATTGGATTATCAATTTAATGTATTATTCCTTCAATGGAATTATGCAAGCGGTATTATCCTCATATGATATTGTTGGAACTTCTTGTGTTGATAGATAAACCGCATGTGTCTCGGATATGATGGATCGTTGATCTTAATCAAACACATTCTCGACTTTTCTCATGAATTGATATTTCGCATAATTTGAGAATGTGACGAGCTATAGTTTACTTCGTAGAACTCCAAGATATAGCTGGATCTCCATATGTAAATATATAACCAGCTTCGATCGAGCTTTGTATGGATTAGATAAATAACCCGCATCCGCATAACCAATTAATATTGTCTTTGATTTATTAGAGTAATATAAGCTCATATCAATTATTCCTCGAAGATAACGTAGTATATATTTAAATTTATTTCAATATCTCTATATTGAAACAGAACTATGACTTGCTAACAAATTTATAGAAAAGACTATATCAAGTCGAGTATTATTAGCAAGATACATCAATGTACCAGTGACACTAAAATATGGTACTTTAAGACCAAGTAGTTCTTCGTTATCTTCTGAGGTCAAAAAGATCTTTTTGGATATCAAGTGAATGAACTACCATTGGGCTAGTCAATGAATGATCTTTATATAGAATCATTGTAGAATCTTTTTCGATATAAATTGACTTATGAATGAAAATCTCATTTTCTAAGTGCTCAAATTGCGAGTCGAGATAACATTTTGTTTTCCTAAGATATTCACATCAAATTTTCTTTTTAGGTAACTTATGACACTTGAAATCTCTTCGGGAGTTTCAATAATATTTAAGTTATCAACATATAAAACAAACCCCTTTTTAAATAAAAACATATGAACAAATAGGGTTATTTTTTATAACTTTCTTTCAATAAATAATCATTGAAGTGATTATATCACGTGTACGCGGGTTAGTAATAAAGAGTAGATATAAAAATAAAATATAAAAAGTATAAATTGAATTTTTAAAAACCAAAATAATAAAACAAATACTAAAATAATCCTAATAGAGATCTCTATAATTTAATTAAATTCTTTTCTCGAGAATATGTATTACATGCTTATGGCATATTAAGTCCTTCTATGACTTTCATACTTATGTCATTTCAAATGAACAAATAAATTGTGATCACATTCGTTAAATATATACAT